GCGCCATTTTTCAGCAGCCCTGAATGTTCTTTTTGATGATGAATGCAACACTATTCCCCTTCAATTTGTAATTCCTGGCATAGTACACCATATGACTGTCTGATTCAAAACGGCCAATACCAGTCCATTTCAGCTAACTAATGCCTAGGATATCAATGTGTATGCGTTCTACTTCATTTTTGATGACTTCTAATTTTCCTAGATTCATACTTCATACATTTCACATTTCTATTATTAATGAATCTTTGCAGCTGTTTCTTCTTATTTTGAGTCATGCCACATCAGCAAATGAAGCTCCCAAAAGCTTGACTCCATTCACATCATTAAGGTCAACTCTACTTTGAGGAGACAGTTCTTCCCCAGTTGTATTTTGAATGCCTTCCAACCTGAGGGGCTCATCTTTCAGCGCTATATCAGACATGTTCTGCTGCTATTCATAAGGTCTTCACTGGCTAATTTTTTCAGAAATAGACCACTAGGTCCTTCTTTCTAGTCTGTCTTAGTCTGGAAGCTCCACTGAAACCTGTCCACCATGGGTGACCCTACTGGTATTTGAAATACCAGTGACATAGCTTCCAGCATCACAGCAACACACAAGCCACCATAGTACAACAAACAGAATGCGGAAATTATCAAATAATTATCATTAATATCACATACAAATCAAATTTTGCTGAAGATCATTCAAAAGCAGTTGCAGCAGTACATCGACAGGGAACGGCCAGAAGTTCAAGCCAGATTCAGAAGAGAATGTGGAAGGAGGGATATCACTGCTGATGTCAGATGGGGATCTTGACTCAAAGCAAAAATAGCATAAAGATGTTTACCTGTGTTTTATTGACTATGCAAAGGCATTTGACTGTGTGGATCGTAACAAATTATCGATAACATTAGGTAGAATGGGAATCCCTGAACACTTAATTGTGCTCATGCGGAACCTGTACATTGACCAAAAGGCAGTCATTCAAATAGAACAAGGGGATACTGCATGGATTAAAATCAGAAAAGGTGTGCATCACCCATGTTCATCGCAGCACTGTTCACAATAGCCAAAGGATGGAAGCAACCTAAGTGCCCATTGATGGATGAATGGATAAACAAACTATGGTATATCCACACAATGGAATATTACACAACAATAAAGAACAATGATGAAGCTGT